GCCCCGAGCGCGGTGAGTGCCGGCGAGGGTCCCGGGGGACGGCGGGGAGCGGGGCGGGAGGCCGTCTTGCTGAGCCCGCGCGCCCGGCACCCGGAGCGGCGGCACCCCTCACCTGGGGCCCCTCAGCGCGGTCGCCCACACCCCCGACCAGGGGCCCCTTCTGCGCCAACCCGTCCCCAGAGAGGCCCCAGGATGACGAAAACTGTCTCCGGACCGGATACTTGTGTCTAGGAGACCCGAAGAAGTCCCAACGGCCCCCTCCCTTCCGAGACCTGGAGGGGCAGCCCTGAGGGTCTCCCACTGGCGACCCTCAGGCTCCCTGGAGACCCAGATAACGCGCTGCTGACCTTACTAGGGACCCGGGTCTGGGGGACGCAGATAAGCTGCACCTGCTCCCTCACTCAGACACGCCTACCCAGACCTACACAGCCCTCTCTTTCTTGCTCCAAATAGTCTACTCTTCACCCTCTCTTTCATTTTCCAGACTTGCGTAACTCCTTTTGAGGATCCCCTCAAATACCTGGGTCTGGAGAACCCAAGTAAGTCCTATCTGTAATTCCCTCCTAAGTGACCATACGCCCAAACTTCAGACATCTTCCATCTGGCTACCAATTTCGAGACCTTCTTGAAATTCAGAGACTTCACTCCTCACTATCTTCAACCCCCAAAGCCCTCTAGCCCTTAGAAGCCCCCTATCTTTCTTTTGAGGGTCCCTAAGACACCCAGATAACTTGCTCGTGATTTCTTACAGTACTTTCCCATCCTTCCCATCCTTGAGACCCCCTCCAGACTTCTCCCTGAATTTCTGTCCCTTCTCTGGCATCATCCAGTCCTGGGGGAATTTAACCTTTCCCACCACACAATGATGTGATCTAGAAGCTGGCCTGGGATCCAAGCTGTTTCCTGTATATCCAGTCCCATGCTGTGGCCCAGCTTGGTGGGGGAAAAGGACCCTGTAAGGTGGGAGATAAGGGGACAACAGTGTGAGGGAGTTGGTGCTTTCACCTGCAAGTGTAGCCTGTTTCCTGGCTTGTGTGTTTTTCCACCTGTCAACCTGGAACTGTAATATACTCTAGCCTTGGGTTTCTAACCTTCCCAAGGTAGCGCCACCAGATGGGGGTGGGGAGAGTGTCTAATCAGGTTTCTTCCTCATGAAAATGGGCTGTAGTGAGTTGCAGCCATTTGCTCAAGGCCTCCCCAGGAGTAGGAGGCAGCAGGAATCCCGGGAAATGGGGAATCAAAGGAACTCCAAAGAGGGCCCATCTACATTGACAGAAGAACTAGCAGCCCGAGAGTAAATCCAACCCCTGTTAATCCTGTTTGATGTTTCTTGGAATGATGCAAGTCATTGAGACTCTCCAGCCTCCCTGTAATTTAATTCTCCCACCACTCTGGAGTGAATGTGTGTGCGAGTGTGAGAGAGAGAGAGAGGGAGAGACAGAGAGACAGAGGGGTGGGTGGGGGCAGATATTCCTATTGCCTCCTTTACTTCTCACTGTTTTCTAGCCAACCAGTGTGTCTTTTGGATTTGTTTCTGGTGTCCAGGTCAGGACCTGCTTTTTTTTCTATAAATCTATTTATAATTTTCCAGTTGCTATTTTGGGTTCTTCTTAAGGGAAGGTTCTGTCTACCCCAAGGAATGTTTAGGGGTGTGTTTCCTCCGTGGCAGGTGTTGAATTGAGTTCTTCAGATCCCCAAGTAGTTCTTGGGCAGGAGGGATAAAAGCTATTTTAGGGTAGCCACTGAAGTGGAGCTGTTAATCCTCTGTGGGTCTCTTTAGTTAAGAACGCCCAGAGATTAACTCGTTCGTTGCGGAGGCGGGTGTTATATCTCAACAGTGTTTTGGAGAGGGAGTTGGGAGAATTTGAGTGTGGCCTCAGAAGATGGGAACATGCAACTTAATACAAAGGCAAAGATAATAGCTCTCTTTTGTTGGGCACTTATAGCAGGCCACGCTCTATGCTGAGCCCTTTGCATAGCTAAAATAATCCTTACAACAAGCGTGTGAGGTAAGTATTTTTAGCTTTACAGATGAGGAAACAGGCTAATAATGGAGAAAGAACGCAGTTTCTATAGAGATGATGTAACACCATAAAAACTATAGTTTCATCAGAGGGTAGCAGACATCATGGCACACAACAGAGGACAGACAGACTGGGGAGCAATATATCTCCATTTCAGCCTCCAAAGAGGGCCATATGGAGTTTTTAGCAAACATTCCTGTTTGAGGTATGGAACCTTAATTATAGAAGAGCGTATGATAAAGGTATAATCAAGTGGCTATTTGAGCAAGAGAGAGCTCTGGCCCAGGAGATGGTGTTGGAGGAAGGTAAAGTAAGGGGCTGGTTAGAGGGGATGTACTGGGGGTTAGTTGTGAGGGAAAAGGGGAAGGCTGCATTCTGGGGAGATGTTGGGAAGGGAAGGAAACTCATTATGAGGCCTGAATGAGAGGGGGAATAAGTACTACTCGGGCCCCATGCGGAAAAGAGGCAGAGGCAGGTCAGACTTCAGAAAGGGGACTGCATGTACTTAGCACACATTTTATGTCAGACACTTTCAAGAGTGTTATTTCACTTAATCCCCTATAAGAATCTTATAAGTAAGTTGAATAAATCTCTATTGTAGCAACTGAGGAAACTGAGGTTCAGAGAAATAAAGTTACTTGCCCATGGTTTCACAGCCAGTATGTGGTAGCTCCTCTGATAGCAAGTCCAAGGTTCTTTCCATGCTACCTCCTCTTTCAGATCAGGCGCCAGAAAGAATCTTAGGCTGAAAATATATTGAGTTATACCACTAACTGGGAGGGATTGTGTTTGTTTTATGGGAACAGGTTCTGTCAGCTTCTCTATAATTGTAAAAGTTAGAGTATGAGACCAGAAGAGCAGCTTGGAAGAGAAGCTGAATTCTTTCATAGTTTTACTGAAGAAATCTAAAGGAATAGGCCTTTCGATTATTTGAGACAAACCCAGGAATCTTTCTGGATCAGAGGAGTTTGCAGACAAAGGACAGAGAGAGAGAGAGAGAGAGACTAGATCCCCAAAAGCGTTCCTAGGTAACAGTAGCAGCTTTAGGTATCCAACAGCACGCTGGTAACTATAGGTAAGGACTTTGCTGTGTCTTTTAAAAAGCATAGGGGAGTAGGATCAAGGTGTTGGCTCCTTTTTAATGCCATAGACCCATTAAATGCAGATCAGAGCGAGCACATGGCTGCTGCCTTCCTCCCTTGGTTCTATCAGTACAGCCTCGTGAGCTCTTCTTAACCACCACACATCTCTTTCCTAGAAGCCCATTACTCACTCTTTCAGTAGCAGCATACTAAACTGCTATGTCTTGTTTGTGCTTGTTCAGGAGAACAGATGAGGTGGATGTGTGGGAGGTGGGGGATGTACCGTTCTCTTTTTGAGTTTGTACGGAATTTCCAGGGGTAGGCTCCCCCTCACATCAGCCAAAGTGATGTGACTTGCTTCCCTCTGACTGCCATTCCCAATGTTCCAGAGGTTGAGGTGCATGATTTTAGATATGAAGGAGGAGCAGAATTTGACTTTGAAGGTAGGGGAAATTCTTTTCAAACTAGACATGCACACTTGAGCTTACTCTACCCAATTCCAAGGTGCATAGTAATTGCTGGTATTATAAGCAGGCAATTCCACCCTTGCGAAGGAGGAGGGGACTTAAACAATGAAAGGCATACGTCACAGGCCTTTGAGGTTTACAGTGAAGCAAGCAATGCCATGATGACTCGAAGGCTCAAGTGGGACTAGTTTTTAGTGCTAACTACCTTTCCCCAGCACGTGACTCATGCAAAATGCAGCCACCTTTGTGTAGAGCTTTCTAGGCAAATCTACACTCGTGATGGGGAAATGTTTATCATATTACATTGCAATATTTCTTCAACAAGAGGAATGGTTCCTGAACAGGACATAGCTCATATTAATGATGAGCAAAGCTATCTGGGGCATGAACCTGCTGATCCCATCATCTCGTTCACGGCCGGTCTGTTGGATGAATGGTCACTGTAAGCAGCAGGTGCTAATGAGCTGAGCAAGCATTCTGTGGCCCACAGCTAGTTTGTGCAGTTGGAGCCCTCCCCAGATTCTCATGGACAGTCCCTGGACACCCCCCTTGCTCTCTTCACACGAAAAAGCCTCATAACCAGATTTTGGCATGATCTCTTCGAATGGGGAATCCCCCTGTTGTAGCAGGTTGCATTGGATTTGGTAATCTGTGGTGAACTTGTGAGTGTGAATGTGGGTCTGTTGTCCCCCTTTGAGAGTCAGTATAGTACCTCCCAACCTCTTCCTCCAGGTTGGTGTCAGGAAAGGATTTGTGTCACCCTTGCTCCAGCCCTCTTCCTTCCTGCTACCATTACTCTCTCACCAAGAGAAAGGATCAGACTTCAGGATTTTGGCTTCCCATTTTGGAAGGGCTACGAGACCAGTTTAAGCCAGAACTTCCTGGGCATAAGTTAGTCCCTGAGAATCAACTTGCATTCAATGACTAATTTACTCGTCTAAAAGAAAGTTGAGATTCTTTTTCTAGATGTTCGGTGTATGGAAATGAAAGATATGATAGGAGCCCTCAAAGAATCAGAGTCAAGTAGAGAAGACTAAATTCTAATGCAGGTATGTTACCTGCTCATAATGGAGAAGTGCGTATATGTTCTGAAGGTCTGTAGGAGGGGCTGCTTAGAACCTTGGGGTGCTTTGCTAAAGAGGCATGGTCTGTACCTGGACCAAGAGAGCTAGAGAGGTGGTGGAAGTCAGGATGGGACCAGTACTGTTTTAGGGAAAATGCTGAGTCTGCTGTTGCCTCTTCAGACAGAACCTCCTGATGTTGATATGCTGCTAAGAAACATATCTGGCACAGGGGCTGACTTTCCAGGGTGTTAATTTCCTAAGTAAAGGCTTCTCTTTCCTTCTCTGTTGCCTTATGGGCGTTTTATTGTTCTTTAGATCCTCCACAAGGAGGAGAAACGTGGAAAATAGTGGATGAGGGGGAACTAGGGTAAAGAGGAGGAGGAGGAACTGTTATCTCTAGGTTTAGTGGAAAGGATGTAAAAGTGAGGTCAGAAGAGAAAGTCTGGAGTTACAGGGCTTTTAGTTCCTGAGTTTACTTTGTTTCTTACTGGCCTAGATGGTACTTACAATAATAATTACCACCAAGCACTTGCAGGGTGTCCATCTTTCTGCTGAATGCTTTATATTCATGATCTCATTTAATTCCCCTAACATCTTTATGATTTAGGAGATTATTATGCCCATTTTATAGGTGAGGAGACAGCTCAGGGAAGTAATTGGCTGAAATTACACACAGCTTCTAAGTGGAAGGGCTGGGATTGAATGGGATGTCTGCCTCCAGAGCCCATGTTCTCATGGTATTGGGCTCCCTAACAGCAGGTGTTCTGATGTTTCAGGTGAAGAGATTGTTTTCTGAAGGCTGCGTTGGAGGCTGTGACAGAGCAGAGAGCCCGTGTGGAGCTGATGGGGAGGCTTTCTGAATAACATGGCCCTTCGCCATTAGCCTTGCCATGACCACATTTTTCACCAGCATCCCTCCCTGGATTCAAGATGCAAAGCAGGAGGAGGAAGTGGGCTGGAAACTAGTTCCCAGGCCTCGGGGCCGGGAAGCGGAGAGTCAAGTGAAGTGCCAATGTGAAATCTCGGGGACACCCTTCTCAAATGGGGAGAAGCTGAGGCCTCACAGCCTCCCCCATCCAGAGCAGAGACCGTATAGCTGCCATCAGCCTCACTGTGGCAAGGCTTTCGCCTCCAAGTACAAGCTATATAGGTAGGTGGCACTCTCATACTTCTTCCTACCCTGAGGTTCCCAGAGTACAGAGCTGCGACAGAGACACCACTGAGTGTGGGGCATTATCTGTGGCAGAAGAATGGAGGCTAATTTGTCCCACAAGTGTACCCTGAACATCAACAATCTGAAGTCACTCATTGAGAAAAAAATGGTGGTATTTTTCATCAGACACTAGAATCTGATGGGTACAATATCAGACAGCCATGAACAAACTAGATTGAACATTTTTTTTAATATTACTTTATCCACACCTGTCAGGTAATGATCAGAATCTTAGCTAGGTGTTGGGAATCGGTCTTAGAACTTTATTTACTTAAGGAATTTATTTATTTTTAGTTGTATATATTTATGAGTTATATTTCTTTCTTTTTTTTTTTTTCTTTTTTGTCTTTTTTACTGACCGGCAACGGGATTGCAACCCTCGGTGTTGCGCCCGTACCAGGGACCGGCAACGGGATCGCAACCCTCGGTGTTGCGCCCGCACCGTGCTCAGCCAGTGAGCAGGAACCGGTCTCCACATGGGATCCTAACCCTCTCCAGTGCGCCACCGGGCCGGCCCTATGAGTTATATTTCTAATTGTATATATTTAGAATTATATTCCAGTACATGTATACAATGTGTGATGATCAAATCAGGGTAATTAGCATATTCATCATCGAAAAAGCTTTATAATTTCTTTGTGATGAGAACATTTGATCTCCTAGTCTTAGAACTTTAGAAGGAAAAAAAGACCCTCTGGTCCAGGCAGGGATGTAACTTACCCAAGATCACATAGCTTAGGTCCTGCAGTGCCCCTTCTACTGAATCAGCTTTCTACTCAGATGATTACTTCTGTCTCCTTAGTACCCTCTGGGTCAGCTGATTTTCTGAAACTTGAAAGCCCAAGAACCCCTACTTAAAATGAAGTAGAATGTGAAAGCCTGGTGTAAAGCAGATATGGCAAAACAGCTTTGGTTTCTATGGTGGGGAGGGAGGACTTACCATCAGAGGAACCATGAACTTTACAAGTAAGATAGACTGGCCTGATGCACAGCCGTCCAACCATAATTCATCTAGCTATCTATTATTTTTGAGTTCTGATATGTACAAGGCACGGTACTTGGTGCTAGAGACAGAGTAGCCAGCCAAACAGATGGGATCCTGGCCTTCCTTGAGTTTGCTGTCTTAATAATAAGGGCAGACAGTAAACAAGTAAATACATGAATAAGATGACCACAGAAAGCCTCAGTTCCTCATCTGGAAAACAGTTGATAGGAAGGAACTAAATCAGGCAATAGGGTAGTGTGGTAGCCAGGATTGCCCTCATTACAGTTCTGTGGTCCTCAGGAATGCTTTGATTCTGTATATTCCTATATCTTAAGGGGACTCCAGGTAGGGCTGTTCTCTCAGACTTTCTTAGTGATGGTCTAGGTGCCAATAGGAGGCTGCAGGAAAGGTTCTGGTCTAGGAGGCAGGAGTCCTGACTCCATCCACAATTCACTGTGATCTTGGGTGAGTTACTAAACCTATTTGGGCCTCAGTTTCCTCACCTGCAAAATGAGGGAAATGGGCTGTGGATCACTTAGCACCTCCCTCTCAAATGTTATCGTGTCAAGTTTTGTCACAGGCAGTTGATAGTAACTCACATAGATACGAGCACTCCTGAGCATACACACATAGCATGCGGGTAAAGAGTGTTGTTGATACCCTCCAGGTAGAAAGGATCACTGGGTGCCATACTACAGACAGCTGTGGCATGCCTGAGTGAACCCAGATCTCAAGAAGACCTGTGTTAGGGGCTGGCTGGTTAGCTCAGTTGGTTAGAGTGCAGTGTTATATCACCAAGATCATGGGTTCTGATCCCCATACCAGCTAGCCGCCAAAAAAAAAAAAAAAAAAAGGTTTGTGTTTAAATCCAGCCTCTGCCACTTACTGACTGGTGGGTGGGGCTGCCCTGTGCTTTTACCCTCCTTGCCTAGAGAACAAGGTTAATGACACAGCTCACTCAGGGCCTGCCAAACGGTGGGTCCTCAAAGTCTTGCTGGGTTGATTCTGAATATACTATAGAGCTGTGGATTGCAGTTCCTGCCCTCTGAGCTGCTTTCCTACGAGATGGGAGCAGGTAAACCAAGGGACATTGAGCTGCCATACCATTAAAACATTTCTTAAAAGTTTTAATGGTTTACATGGCAAGCAGTTCAACTGGTACCAATGGGCATGCAGTGAAAAGTGATTTGTCCTCATACTTGAAGCCACCGTTCCTCTCCTCAAGGCTGCCAATGGGTTAATTTCCTGAGACACAAACATATATCCACTTCCTTTTTTATTTTCAAAAGGGATTGTATTACATGTACTATATTGAACTTCCTTTTTTGACTTAGCCCTATATATCTTGGGAACTCATTCCAGATGAGGAAGTTTTGATTTTTCCTTTATTGTGTCATTTAAATTTATTAAATATAATTTTTTGAAAAGGAAATACATTCACGTAATTCAAAATACAAACTGTGCCAAAAGATACACAATGAAAATTCTTTGTCACACTCATCCATAGCTGTCCAATTCTTCTCCCCATAGGCAACCAGTGATGTCAGTTTCTTGTATATACTTCCAGAAATATTTTAAGCATATACAAGCAAATGTACATATATTTTCCCTCTTTTCACATACTGAGTACCATTCTACATGCACCATTTTGCCTCCTTGCTTTTTTTCGCTTACTGGATTTTAGGAGCTTATTCTCTGTAGATGCATATAAAGCTGCCTCATTTTTTTAAAAAGTTGAGTCATTTTATATATTTGCCATAATTTATGTAACCAGTTTCCTATTGAGATTGGATGTTCAGATTGTTTCTGATTTTTGCTACTACAAACAATGCAAAAGAGTAAAAACTGCAAAGAATAGCAGTACATGTATGATTTTGCAGGTGGGCAAGGATCTCTACAGACTGTAGTTGGCATGGTATTCCATTGCATGACTTTGCCTAGCTTCCTATTAATGGACACCTAGCTTCCTGTTAATGGACACCTCGGTTGTCTGATCAGCCCTTGTGATCTCCCCTCTTTTTGCTTTCTTCCCTGTCCCCCATCCCTACCGCCAGGCACATGGCCACCCACTCAGCCCAGAAACCCCACCAGTGCATGTACTGTGATAAGATGTTTCACCGCAAGGATCATCTGCGGAACCACCTGCAGACCCATGACCCTAATAAAGAGGCCCTCCACTGCTCTGAGTGTGGTAAGAATTACAATACAAAACTGGGCTACCGGCGCCACCTGGCCATGCATGCTGCCAGCAGCGGTGATCTCAGCTGCAAGGTGTGTCTGCAGACCTTTGAGAGTACTCAGGCCCTGCTAGAGCACCTGAAGGCCCACTCACGCCGGGTAGCAGGTGGTGCCAAGGAGAAGAAGCACCCCTGTGACCACTGTGACCGGCGGTTCTATACTCGTAAGGATGTGCGGCGGCACCTAGTGGTGCACACAGGCCGTAAAGACTTCCTGTGCCAGTACTGTGCCCAGCGGTTCGGCCGCAAGGACCACCTGACACGTCATGTCAAGAAGAGCCACTCGCAGGAGTTGCTCAAGATCAAGACAGAGCCAGTGGACATGTTAGGCTTACTCAGCTGCAGCTCCACAGTCAGTGTGAAGGAAGAGCTGAGCCCCGTGCTGTGCATGGCCTCTCGGGACGTGATGGGAGCCAAGGCCTTCCCTGGCATGTTGCCCATGGGCATGTATGGCACCCACATCCCTACCATGCCCAGCACAGGTGTGCCACACTCCCTGGTACACAACACGCTGCCCATGGGTATGAGTTACCCTCTGGAATCCTCACCTATTTCTTCCCCAGCTCAGCTCCCTCCAAAATACCAGCTTGGATCTACCTCATACTTGCCCGACAAATTGCCCAAAGTGGAGGTGGATAGTTTTCTGGCGGAGCTTCCTGGAAGCCTCTCTCTCTCATCCACTGAACCCCAGCCCGCCTCACCTCAGCCGGCGGCAGCTGCGGCCCTCCTAGATGAAGCACTGCTTACCAAGAGCCCCGCCAACCTCTCTGAGGCCCTCTGCGCTGCTAATGTGGACTTCTCCCACTTACTGGGCTTTCTTCCACTCAACCTGCCCCCGTGTAACCCGCCCGGGGCCACAGGAGGCCTGGTTATGGGCTACTCCCAGGCCGAGGCACAGCCCCTTCTCACCACTTTGCAGGCTCAGCCTCAAGAGTCCCCAGGAGCTGGGGGGCCACTGAACTTCGGGCCTCTGCACTCCTTGCCTCCTGTCTTCACCTCTGGCCTGAGCACCACCACCCTGCCTCGTTTCCACCAAGCATTCCAGTAGCCCCCATGGAGGCCCTTGGCTCAGGCTTTGGTTCTGTCAGGGAGCCTTAGTACTCACCCCGTCCGTGTCCCCCATGAAGGCAGCTGAGCTTTCAGAGCTGGGTTCGAAAAGAAAAAATTCCAGAGTATGAATGGAGCACTTGGTTTGGGGGTTCAAGCTTCAGGATTGATTCTAGGAGAAGCCTTGAGTCCCAACCCCATGAAAAGATCTCATACCATAGGACTTCAGGTATTTTTACTTTTATTTTTTTTATCTGAATCGGGAGCCACGCTTAGCCCTCTCCCTCTCCAAAGCGTCAGAACCTCCTTCTCTTTGGAGAAGGCGGAGGCCTCTTGGAGACACAGAGGGTTTCACCTTGGATGACCTCAAGAGAAATAACCCAGGAAGCCCGCCTTCTGGTCCCAACCTGCAGACCCCACAGCAGTCAGTTGGTCAGGCCCTGCTGTAGAAGGTCACTTGGCTCCATTGCCTGCTTCTAGCCAGTGGGCGGGAGAGAGGGCCTCTAATCTTCCCGACCTCACCCAGACCTACTGTACCAGCACCCCATCTTCAGTCAGTGTTTTCCAGCAATGGTACCGTTTACACAGTTGCTTCAGACACACCATTTCATCTCCCTTGCCAAGCTGTTAGCCTTAGAATGATTGCAGTGAAAACTGTTTACACACCGTGAATCCATTCCCACCAATCCATTCCATTTGGCACCAGCCTGAACCATTTGGTACCTGGTGTTAACTGGAGCCCTGTTTACAAGGCGGAGTCGGGTCTTGCTGACTTCTCTTCACTTGAGGTCACATTTTTCCCCCGTGGGGAAATAAACTGACTTTGGACTGCTTCAGTCTCTGCCATCTTCCATGACCGCGTCTGTTCCTGCCTTCCTCAGCAGTGTCCACAGGAGACAGGCAAGAAGATTGGAGCGGTTTTCTCACAGGTCTGCAGTTCTGTTTTTCTCCAAGTACATCATGACCCCTCATCCTTTTGAACTGGAAAGGGGAGAAAATGAAAGGCACGCACACATCCATCACCTCCCCATCCCCAACCCCCACCCTGGACATCATGGGCTATTATTAGTCTTGGAAAGAGGGACTCTGGGTTCTAGGCTGGTGTGGATATCAAAGGAGAGGGTCTGAGCTCCTCATCTGTCTCCCTCCTACCTGTCCCTTTGCCAGGAAGTTGTGGAATTGTTGAAAGAAGAGTTTTCAGAAAGTTGGGACTGGGCAGATAGTTGAGTTCTAATCTCTAGATTCGTTGTTGCCTCCCATACCCCAATTTTTCTTATCCACAATGTCCCTCCTATCTCCTCCGCTTTGCAGTCCCCATGGACTCAGGGCCATCGCATAGGCTTCTTTGCTCTTCATCAAAGAATTTCCACTTTCTTAGAGTCCCCTTCAGTTTTGCCCCTATTATCCAACAAGGTTTCTTGCAACAAATGATTGGTACTTTTCTGACTTGTGGAGCTCCGTGCTACAGACAGCACAGCCCTTGCCTAGAACCTAGCTGAACCCCATTCCTGCTTCATCTTAGTTCTGCATGGGCTTTACTCTTCCCACTCGTGGAAGGGAGGCAGCTCAGGGACCACCATTGTGGGACCCTCTTGAGACACCTCCACTCTGATTCAGAAACACACTTCTACCTCTTTACTGTTAACTCCTACAGATGCAGCCAGCAGTTTCTGGGCACTTCTCTCAGTGAGTGCCTCTTGCTGGCTTCTCCACTAGGATTTCAGGACAAACTACCAAGAAACTGCCTCATCCTCTCATCAGCCCTCCCCCACCCACTTCCACCTCGACTCACTTTGGTTTATCATCAGGAACTGAACTGGTCCAAGACCCAGGTTTCTGCTTCAGCCCAGGCCAGTACTCCTTGTTTGAGGTGAAAGCCTTAAAATTTAGCTCCCTGGCTCCCGCTTGGAAACAATGTGTAGTGAATAAGTGTATTTTGATTTAGGCAGGGTAGCTTGGGTTAAAAAAATAAAACCAGATATAAAAATGTCTGGCAAGGTTAGAATCAGACTAGGTGATTTACTTCTGAAAAATAGTTTCAGTGAGTCCCAGGGACTAATTAAGGTTTTTTAGAAAAAGCGTCTACCTTGGTACGCAGCCACCTCCTACATGCTGTGCATGTTATTGGGACTCGTATTATAGGAAATGGTATGTGAGAATCCGAGAGGGACTCGCTGCTGCCATTCTCCTTGTTGTGTCTGGTCTTCATCACTAGACCCAGCAACCCTTCTCTCCTTGCCTGCCACCTTCCCTGCACCCTCAGTTTACAGAGGCCAGTGGGCCTCTGGCCACAGAATATAAAGTCCTGGGCTGTTAGAGGAGTCCTGTACTCTCTGCCTGCCCTTTTGTATCCTTTCCTTGAATTCTCTCCCCACATTAGTGATGCTGGGAAACTCATAAGACAGGCAAAGCAACTATTTAAAACTTTGTAACTGGGGCCTTGCCCCCCACCTCCTGTTTTTCTCTTTGCCTTCCCCCACTCCCATCCTTTCCCTTCCATCCTGTCTCTCGTTTTGTCTTCCCTCAATGCCCTCACCACCCACAAGGAATTTTCCATATCACTGTGAACTTTGCTGGTGCAGAGGAACATTATCTGTGTTCACCTTTTTTTTTGGACCTTAGCCACTCAGCTGTTTCTTAAACCTCCCTTCCCAAGATAAAAAAAAAAAAAAAAATCCTTATTGGCCTGGTTGTTTAAAGGATAAGAATAACTTTGTCCTACTTAGTACCCAAACTCACTTCAGTACACTTACTGAGGCCATGAGAGAGCCTGAGGGGCACCTGCCTAGGACAGTAGCCATGGCATGTGGCAAAGACCAATCAGGGACCAGAAAAATGGGATGATGTCCCCTTTCCCCATCATCAGCAGCCTCTGTCAGCAATGAGCTGTCTTGAACAGGTGGCAGGCACCTCCTGCACAGTAGCTGGTCAGGGCTGAGTGCAGTCCTGGGGCCAGGGATGACAAGCCCAGGTGTCAGCTCAAAGGATCTCTGCACCATCTTAAAGAGGTGGGAGGCAGGGAAAGGAGCACCAATGACTTTTTTCCCCTTAACCTTTTACAAATGGCATTCTGTTAATGGAAATCTGGGAAGCAGGTGTGATTACTTTTTTGCTCGTAGATATTGTCCTAAGTTGAAATTCTCCCACTGCCCTAAACTTTCCCTAGTAGCCCTTTAAATTCTTCCCTTTTTGGTAGCTGTTTGCTCCGCCCTTTCTCCACCTCCCCTCTTATCTAGGAGCTGTTTTTAAGCATGATTTTTTTAAAAACAGGTTATATTGTACAGGATCAATGTTTTGCTTTTTAACAAGGATATTTATGTAATAAACTTTGCCTTAGGCAGGTGTTGGCCAGAAAAGTCCAGATTCCTCTGGAACCCCACCCTGGCCTCTCCTGGAGCTCTGAACCTGCTGTGGAAGGAACTGGCCGTGACCTTCACCACTGGAGAGTGGGGTCTGTGGCGAGGGAGGGGGTGTTCACCATGATAATATAGTGCTTCCATGGAGGGGTTTGGAAGTATTCAGTCCAGTTTCTTCTCATGTCAGCCGACTTCCTCGGCTGATTCTCCCATAAGCACCTCTCCACTTTGGCATATTTGGCACTAGAACTCCTGAGACACCACTTTTCATGCACCTCCCTCCCCCGCAGCAGTCAAGGCTTTGGAGCCACTCTTCCGTAATGCCAGATTATTTAAAGAGAAAAAATACAAGACAAAAACCTTCTAGCACTTTGTAAACACAGTGAATAACCTCTTGGAGTATTTTTGGCTTTATATAAAACAAGGTTTTTAATTGTAAAATATAAGTGCCATTAGAAAATGCACAGGGCGTATCTTTGTTAAAGTAGATTTTTCAATGTTTTACAGAATTACATTTTCAAAAAAGTTTTTATAATGAAGTTGTTTATTAAAAACTTCTGAATGATGTGTTTGGAAGTGAACCTGTCTGATTGGGAAAAAGGGTTGGAGATAACCTGGAATTGGGAAGAAATGGAATCTCCAGACATTTTTAGCATCCAAGGTGATGGTGAGTGTAGGGCAGACTGTAACAACCCCTCATGTTAGCATCTACAAGATTTGTACTTTGAAACGAAAGATCTTATTTGGATGTCTTTGAGGTAAGTGACATTCTATCAGTTAATAATCTTGAATCCAAGGGTCAGAAAACCCAAATCAAATTGGCTTTTTTTTTTTTTTTTAAAGATGACCGGTAAGGAGATCTTAACCCTTGACTCGGTGTTGTCAGCACCACACTCACCCAGTGAGCTAACCGGCCATCCCTATATGGCATCTGAACCTGTGGCCTTGGTGTTATCAGCACCACACTCCCAAGTGAGCCACGGGCTGGCCCCAAATTGGCTTTATTTTTATTTATTTATTTATTTTTTTAAAGATGACCAGTAAGGGGATCTCAACCCTTGGCTTGGTGTTGTCAGCACCATGCTCAGCCAGTGAGCAAACCGGCCATCCCTATATAGGATCCGAACCTGTGGCCTTGGTGTTATCAGCACCGCACTCTACCAAGTGAGCCACGGGCCGGCCTACCAAATTGGCTTTAAGCAGTGAAATTTCACGTAACTGAAAATGCCAGAGGTAGAGCAGTCTTTAGGTTAAGTTTGGGCCAGTGGCTCAGACATGGCCTCAGCATTCCTATTTCTTTCTGCCCTATTGTATGCAGTTGTGACTTCATCCTCAACACTACGAAGTAGGTTCTCCCTTTGTGTAGGATTAGAATGCTGCCATGATTCCAGACCTGTCATTCTCACACGGTGCTGACCAGGAGGAGAAGGGAACCCTTACCAGACTCTCAGGAGGGAGGATTCCTTTTATTCACAGAAGCCCCTGTAAGCATCCTGTCTCATTGGCCTTGATGGCCAAAACTAGTCACTTTAAGCCAGTGATGACAAGGCTGAGACAAGAGGAGGAATGGCTTCTTGAAAGAAATTTGGGGTACTGAAGAATGGATGCAGGTTGTGCAAGAAAAGACCAATGTTTACCGTAGTCACCTGCCCATGGTACACAGCTGGTGACAGAACTAAGACCTGACTGTACCACACTCGTACCCCACCATTGGGTTCAGACAGACTGTTGAGAGGCTGACATGGCTTCACCTTACATCGTTGCTTGGCTGACTGTCTTTAACAAAGGTAGCAGTCACCATCCTGGGCCCCAACCCTTGTGCTAAGATCGTTCCATCAAGGACTCAGGCTGAAATTGCTTTCCTGTGGTTTGGAGACAGTATCCACAGCCAAGCAATGCGAGTCACTTGAAGACCAGCCCAAAAGCTCATGGGGGGTCTTTAACAGGTCTTAATGTGCAGTTGTTTTGTGTACAAAGGCAGTGGGCTGGCCCTTCATCTCTGGTCTTCTACTTGACAGATGTTCACTGTCCACCCCAAGGGGGTCAGAAACTCAGCTAGGACCTCAAGGGAATCCATCTTGCCTACTAGGGGGTGTACACACCAGGACAGGTCTGAGGGCTCAGATGAGGGAGCTCTCTTGAGGAGGCTGAAGGCTTTCTGGAGGAGGTGGCAAGAACTTCCAGGCAGAGATGGGGGTATTAGGTGTGCTGACCCCTAGGTCACAAGTTTGGGAGCTGAGACCACAGGAGTGCAGATAAATTTACAGAATCAAGGACTGCAGAGGCTTAGCCTACCCAAGTACAGACACCCTGCATTTCAGATTAGAGCCACCGTTGTAAAATAAATGGCTGGTACTGAGCAAAGGGTAGCCCTTGGGCCTAGGACAAAGTGAAGCAAGGTCCACCTGATTTTAGCCAACTAGCCCAGGAGGACCCAGCTCATGTGGGGGAAGCCAGGCAGATGCCCGCTTGCTCTTCTGATTTGAAGCGTTTCTGACCTTGTTTCTTCCTTTCTCTACATAAATATTTCCAGCACTTTCGTGTGCCCGACAATTACCACCGTTTGAGGCTCCCAGTTTGGGTTTGGTCAATCTTTGCAAGGAATACCTCTCGAGCCCCTCTGCATATGCCTGAATAACTTGTCCTGTGTAAGGCTTTAAGTGTACAGCTTACCCAAAGCAGCACTGGAGTGTGGGCGCCGGGTGACTCCCCCTGCCCACCGCAGATCAGACAAAACTAGTGGCCTGGCGTGGTGGCTGTGATGGGACGGTTATAATCGTCAGTAACCGGAAGTTCCCTGCTGCTTGTTCCGAGCTACCCATGGCGTGGTACATCCCTGCACTTCTCCACACCTCCACCGCCGGCACTCTACTAACTCGGGGCCAGTTCCGTCTGGCGCGTCCACAGCCGGCAGCCCCTACCCTTCCGCCGGGCCTCTACACCCCTCGCCCGGTGCAACCGAGCGACCCACCTAATGACATCCAGAAGGGGAGAGGGGCGCGCGGGGGGCGGAGCGCGCCCCCGAGGAGGAGCCTGCGGCGCCGCCTCTGCCAGCCTCCGCCCGCCGCGCCGCCC